CGCCGCTGCCGAGCGACGCGCCGGCCGGCCGCGGCTCGGGCCGCACGTCCGGCGTGCCGGGCTCCTCCACCCCGGCGCCGCGCGGGGGCGCCGCGCGGCCGCCGTCGGCGGGCGCGACCGAGGGGCCATCGGGGGAGACGACGACCGCGACTGCCGGCTTGGGCTTGGGCTCTGCGGTGGTGCTACCTTCTCGCCCATCCTGCTGCTCTACTGGCTGCTGCAGCGGCTGCCCCTGCTTATGACTGCTAACCTCCGCCCGCTCGGCCGCCGCCGCGCCAGCCACGCCGGCCCCGCCGCCGCCGCCATGCGGCGCGCCGGCCGGCGTGCCTCCCCGGCTGCCGCCCTGCGGGCGTTCGATGCTTGGGGAGGCTTCGGGGAGCCGCTCAGGCGCCTGCATCGATGGGGCCTGAGCGGCTACCCAGTTTGGGTGGCCCGCTGCTGTGTTGCTGCCTTCGGGGGCGCCCGCGGGGCGCCGCGCATGCGGCTGCTGCTGCGTTTCCGCGGGAGCGTCCGTGCGCCGCTGCTGCCCCGGAGGGCCGTCTGGCAACACCGCCGCCGCGAGCCCGTTCGGGTGGGCGCCCGCCGCAGGGTGCTGCTGCTGCTGCTGCTGCTGCTGCTGCTGCTGCTGCTGCTGGTGCGGCTGCTGCAGCTGCCGCGCCCGGCGGCCGTCGCGGTCACCCTCGCGCTCCTTCTCTCGCGCCCGGCCCGCGCCGCCGCCCGAGGGGGGCGGCCCGGCCTGCAGATGCGCTGGACCCAGGTGCGCGCCGCCAGGGAATGGCAGCGGGGGCATGCGGCCGTCCAGGGAGCCCCCGGCCCCAGACGGCAGCAGCGCCACGCCGGGCAGGCCCGGAGCGCCCGGCTGCATCACGCCCATGCGGGCGTGCATGGGGGGGAAGCCCATGGCGCGCGCGTGCATCATGGCGGCGTGCTGCTGCTGCTGCTGCTGCTGCTGCTGCTGCAGCGTCGGTTGGAGCCCAGGTGGCAAATGAGGGTGTGGCTGCTGCTGCTGTGGCGTCTGCGACTGCTGCTGCTGCTGCTGCTGCTGCGTCACCGCCGCAGGCACAAACGCCCTGCCCGGCACAAACTCCTTCGCGGTCACACGCAGCACGCTCTTGCCAGCGCCAGCGCCGGCGCCGCCGCTGTTGCCGCCGTCGCTGCTGCTCGCGCTGCTGCCGCTGCCGCGCGTCGGCGTGCTGCGCCCGGACGCCGCGCCTGCACCCTGCTGCGCCCTGGGCTGCGGCTGCTGCTGCTGCTGCTGCTGCTGCTGTTGTTGCTGCTGCTGTAGTTGTTGCTGCGCCTGCTGCTGCTGCTGGCCGAGCGCCTGCGGCCCCAGCCCCTGCGGCGCGCCCGGCCCAAAGGGCGGCGCGAGGCCGGCTTGCAGGTGAGGCGGCAGGGGGATGCCCTGGGCCCCTGGCTGGAACATGAAAAAGTGCCCGTTGGCCAAAGGGCCCGCCGGGCCGGGGCCGGGCATCATACCTGGGCCGACCTGGTGGAAGAGGCCGGGCGGCGGCAGGAAGCCGGGGAGACGGCCCTGAGGGCTGGCTTTGTCCGCCGGCGGCCCGTGCTGCTGCTGCTGCTGAGATGGATGTGCCGCGTGATCCCCTTGCTGCTGCTGCTGCTGCTGCTGCTGCTGCTGCTGCTGCTGCTGCTGCTGCATGTGTTGCTGCTGCATGTGTTGCTGCTGGCGCTGCTGCTGGTAGTATTGCTGCTGCTGGTGATGGTGCTGCTGTTGCTGCTGCTGCTGTTGGTGAGCCTGCTGCTGCTGCCGATGCTGGTGCGCCTCAGCAGCGTCTCCTACGGCTAGCTGCTCCCGCTCCGACCGCTGCTGCACATCCTGCGGGCCCCCGGGCGCGCCGCCATCAGGCGCCTGCTGCTGCTGCTGCGGGCCCTTGGCGCCGGGCCCATTTGCCTGGGGCGCGCTGGGGCCGTGCGGCCCCGGGGGCCCTCCCGGCGGCCGCATGAAGAACGCGCCCGCCGCCATTGCCGCCGCCGCCAGCTGCTGCTGCTGCTGCGCCACGCCGGGCAGCGGCATGCCGGGCAGCATGGGGTGCTGGTGCTGCCCTGGGTGCCCCTTCCCGCCCATGCCAGCCGGCAGCGGCGGGCCGCCGGGGCCAAGAGGGAGGGGGCCGTTGGGGCCCATGAGGCCGAGGGGCAGACCGGGCAGCACAGGCCGCATGCCGGGGATCGGGACGAGCGGCACGCCCGCCATGGGCGGCGCGCCCCCCGCGCCCGGCGGCGGCGGCGGCTGCATGCCCGGCGAGCCGGGCCGGAGGTGCGGCGGGTGGGGCCCGGGGCCGGGCGGCAGCATGCCCGGCAGCGGCGGCAGGCCTACTGGGTGGGGCCCGAGCCCCGGCCGCGGCGCGTGCGGCATGAGATGTGGGTGGGCGCCGGGGGGCGGCGGCGGCGGCGGCGGCGGCGGCAAGCCGTGCCCCGGCCCTTGCTGCTGCTGCTGCTGCTGCTGCTGCTGCTGCTGCTGCTGCTGCTGCTGCTGCTGCAAAGCGGGTGGTGCCGCTGCCGTCGGCGCCTCGTCTTCCTCGCGGCCGTCCGCCAACCAGCCAAAGGCGATCGTCCCTTCATATGCTGGCGGTGCGGCCGGCGCCAGGCTCGGAGCGTGCGCCGGCTCAGCTGGCGCGGGCTCGGCGGCTGCGGGGTCGACCGGCCGATCGACTGCAGGCCCCAGGGGCGCCGCTGTCGCCGCGGCTGCAGGCGCGGCCGGCGTAGCGAACTCGTCAGCGGCGGGCAACTGCTGCTGCTGCTGCTGCTGCTGCTGCTGCTGCGGCGGCGGCGGCGGTGGTAGCGGCGCAGCCGGCTGCTCAGGCGCAGTCGGTGGCGCAGTGCCGCCGGGGGCCGCCGCGGCCAGCGAGCCCGCGGGCCCCGCGGGCGGCGGGGCGGCCGGCGGGTCTGTAGAGGGCGCGGCCGCCGCGCTAGGCTGCCCTTGCGGGGCGGCAACCTCCCCTAGATCCTGGCCCTGCCCCAGGAAGCCGCTGGTGCGCCGCACCTGGCCGGGCG